AAGTGAATGCAACAATGAAAAAGCATTAGGTGAACAGACACACATTTAACCCAGCCATGGAAAAATGATTGCAAAGAGAAAGAGTGAGAAAGAGAACGGGCGAATGATAGAGAGAATGAATGAGTGGTGTGATGGTAAAGCTTTTGCACAACAATCCCAACATTTCCATTATACGCTGTAATCATGTGCTGAAGTGGTGAAATTGCACTTAGTTTATTTTCATTACATTTATTTGCATCTCATTTCCAAGTGCAGTTTCGTTTTATTTATACCGTGAGCTCTTTTTTTTTGTTCGCCACTCTCTTTCACTTTTGCCGGCGTATTTTACATTCTCGCAATCGTTCGGTGAATGTTTCGCATTTCGGACCGAAAATGTAATGTTAGAGCGAGCGAGATAGAGATAGCGTGGATAATAATATTCGTTATGTCACGGAATCGTTATCTCTGTTGATTGCACAGCAAACACGTACATCGTACATACTTACCACTTATCTGATTAAACCGAAAGTCTTTAGGAACCTATTAAATTTTCAGCGAGAAAATGCAAATTTTCGACATTCACGCGATAAGTTTTATGGAGCTGTCGACATTATATTTGAATATTTGGTAAGAGACAGTCTCTGCAAGAGAGGGACAGAAGGAAAGGAAAGAGAACAAAATAACGGACACACAGAAAATTGCCATCCATTTCAATGAAAAATGACAACACCTCTTACGAAATTGTTAGGAAGACACTGTAGTGTGTGCATGTATGTTGTATATGTATGGATGTGTGATAGAAACGCTTTTATGCGGACGCTCGTTATATTCTTGACCAGTGCAATAGACTGCTGCATTTTGCCAGCAGCGAAATGTCTCCGGTGTCAAGCATTTTGAACATGGTCCAACGAAATGCGATTGAAAAACGACATATTGCAGTTCGATAAAAATCTCGATTTATCTACTATCCCTGCAACTATTTTAATGGTTTGGTTCCGTTCTGTTCGACCATTCAGTTCTTGCATCGCTTTTCGCTGGCTACTAGTCTCCCTTTTTTGCTATCTTAAGCCACAAAAGCTCGCATATACACATCACTGCCATTGATAATACAAGTTATTGGATTTTCTTCGTTTTCAATGTTTAACGCTACGATGGCTGGTAGTTTATAACGAGCAAAATGTGTCCATACATTACGCATCCGATGTTAAATTGGATTGTGTTAGACTTGAAAGATTTTTCGGTTTGTTTAATATTGTGCATTTATAATTTATGCACTGAACAACACACACACCGAACCGTGATGTTGGCAACAGCAAAAAGCCAGCAGCATCGAACTAAGAGCTACCGTATAGTTTATAATGTATAATGTATGCATGTCTGTATGGGTGTGCATGAGTATGGAGTAAATTGGATGGGGTGCCGGATGCAATGCCACCGAATCTTTCTTTTTTCAAGCGCATTTTAGTATAAGCACCTTTCGTTTCTCTATCTTCGTTTGGTTTGGTTGGACGGCTGCAGTGTCAGACCATGAAATATGCGGAAGAGCTTTAGTTTATGTATCACAATCAATTTTACTGCAATGAAATCACGTTTGCGTTTCCATGTGAAATATGATTACATGCCACAACGAAACCGACGTTCAATATATTGGATCTCTCTCTATCTCTGTGTATCTCTCCTTCTTGTCGTATCTCTGGCAAACATTTGCAACGAAATGCACGGACGCTTCAACTAAAAACATCATGTCCTATCCATCTAACATCCGCCAGCAACGAGAAGTGGATGTCAGTCCATTAACGACCCTCAAGCCGATTTCGTTTTCGATTTGCTTTTAATGACAGCAAATCTGCAACCAGAACGATAAACATGCACCCAAACAGCAAAAAGAGACAGAGATCAAACGAGCATAGGGAAACGAACAGTTGGGATGAGGCAAGAGATTCTATTTGATTGAATGCAACGCAAATCAATACATAAATTTGATGCATTTTTCTGTTCACATTCACACATTCGCAAAGAATGATGCAGTGTCATTCGTGATGCTGGCATTTTCACCATAGTTCACCATTAAATGTGAAAATACGTGTGGATGTGGATGTGTATGTGTGTTTTGTACCAGATAAACCAGAATTACAAACTTTGAAATGCATTTTGAGACTACCCAATAATGACCCATTCCCATTGAATTGCTCAAAATGCTTGAAAAAGGCTGGAGTTGGTTATGTGTATTTGCTGCGTTCGAGTGTTTACTGATTTTGTACATTTACCATGAACTAGTCCAATCGACGGTGACAGGGCCAACACATTATGGCTTCGAAAGCAAAACATCAAGTGCTCAATTTATTGTTTTCGATGGCATAATACTACAACATTTCGCACTCAGATTTCATAAAACATCCAATTTGTTGAAATTGTTTCTCGTTGGTTTCTAACCAGACACACATATACACACACACGGTTGGTAACCTATTTCTGGGTCTTTGGTCAAATTGACTTTGGTGCTCATAAAGATTGGATGACGAAATAATGTAAATTTATAGGCAACTACTATTGTCTAACCGAATGCCGTTCCTTCAGCTTGTACATCACTGGGATTGGGGTAGCGTTGCGAAAAAGGATGTCAAAATTGAAAGAAACAGGTGCACTGCACACAAATCGAAACAAACTCGAAAAAAATTGTGCAAAAAAAACTTTGCAAAAGTTGTTTACACTGCATGTACGTACATATATATTGTAGTGACACTCATTGCGGATGTTAAGCGCGTCAACGTGGTGTTAAGTTATGGTAAAATATGTTGTTTTGCATTCAAATGCAATTAAAATTTAATTAAATTCATTTGGTTGGGGGGGGTAAAAGTTTACTTCTTCGTCATTGTCACCCATCGCCTTTAGTTGGATGACATTCTGCTTGCTAAAGTTTACGTTTTTACACACGCAACACTTTGAATGTTAACCATTTGATAAGCAAACAGAAACAACAAGCAATATATCAATATGCACAAACCATGATGCGAACGACGATAGAAAAAAAATGAAGCAAATAATTGTAAACTTGAAATCCTATAAGAGTGCGGTACAAGTAGCAGACTCTCTAGACTGTTATGAAAAACACTCATCAAAAACCAATTTTGATTCAAGTATCAAGGCATGGTTTTTTTCACAGTCAAATTTTTTTTTGCTTCTCTCATATTTGATCCATTATTTTTCTACCTTGAAACATATTTGTGTCATCGTACCTGCGCTCCGATGCGTTCTTACTGGTGGACGTATAACCATATGACGCTGTACTTGACAACCTCTCAAACAAATGAGAGAAAGGGAACTTGTGACCGAGTTTTTTTTTCATTTAACTCTCATGAATCTCACTAGATTTTCTACTTATTACACCCACACAAAATCGAAACAACTTTCGTTCGGTTGTGGCACTTGAATCATCCTTTTTCTCTTGCTATTTCGGGCCACATTTTTTGCAGTAATAAACTGAACTTGTAATTAAGACCTTTTGTGAACGAGACAAATATTTCATTGGTTCGTCTGGCATACAAATTGATTGACAGTAATCTAAATGTGAACTGAAAACGAAAGACGAGGGACACATCGGTCCCGAAAAATCGGTCGAGAAATGACAATCAATCTTGACGAATTACAATTTCAAACTTCCGAAAAATATTACGGGTATCACGAAAGACAAATGACGTATTTTTTCGGTTTAATTTTGTTCGGCAAGAGATGCGAATAAGGTATATTCTCAATCGACTTTCAGGTGAGACGAAAATGAAGAGCAAAAATAAATGACACAATGTTGCAGACATATTTTGACAATGTCAAAGACGTCAACTGCCCAAATAAATGATTTATGTTGATTCATTTGATAAGCTTTTTTCGAATACCAGACCCGATGCTCAACAAGAAGAATACTATTACAGAAAATGCAACTCGACAAAGGTATACAATCTCATGTATCGTATTACTATGCAAAAGTAATTTCTCTCTATTTCTCGGACATGATTCAATGCCATGCGCTTGACATTCGTTTACATTTTAACGTTAAATAGTGCACTTTGACCAATTGCTTTTGAGTGTATGATGTTCTTTCTAAATCGTTTCGCTATTTGCTTTCTTTTTGTCTATTGATGATGATTCGGTTTTTCCGTATCAATTTTCTTGTGTACAATAGATCACAAAGTGCCAAAAAGGGAGACTTCCATAATGGGAGAATGAATTCAACCGAAGCAAAAACATGATTTAGTCACAATCGAAAAATCTTACAAGTAAAATTATCATGTATTATTCAGTTTGCTTCTTTCTAAGGTGGATGTAAAAAGTAAAGTAATCTCCTTATTTTTATCTACTCAAAAAAAAACTTATTTTTTTGTGTTGTGAGTTTTCTTTTCTTGTTCAATCAAGATAGAATAATATTTCGGAAAAGTACCTTGGGTTGATTATTAAGTAACAAATGACGTCATTAAAAGTCTTCTATACATTTCGATATTGCGTAAAACATATCATTTTATATCATAATAATAAGACGTATGTGTACGAATATAGCCTCGTTGTTTGGAACAGTTGTTTTGAATTTTAATCTTATTTGTTTGATGAATGTGATGAAACCATACAATGTTGCTAGCTAGCTATTTATATCAGCTATTGCTATAGGGATATATAAATAGCTGCTATTAAACGCATCTCTTCGCTTGGACGCTGTGTATGCTGGACATAATAATGGTCTCATTGTTTGAAAATTTTAATGTTTTAAATCATTCCAAAACAATGACACCATTGTTATCCGAGCGTAGATATGCGTTAAATAGCAGCTATTTATATATCCCTATAGCAATAGCTGATAAAGATAGCTAGCTAGCAACATTGTATGAAACAAACATTATAATTTGGATTGACGTAATTCGATTTTCACTGCGAGTTTGGAATTCCGTATAAATAATTCACGAAACAACTCTTTTAAAGTCAATACGACTTTTACTACCCGTATCAGAAGAATTCACGCTTCGTGTACACTCGGCACATCTTGACACGTTTATTTGCTCAGTTTGATTTCAAATTTTCTGTTATTCGGTGAATATATAAGTAATTACCATGTGTTATTTGTTCTCATTTAACTTTGAAGTATTGAAAATGAAAGCAAAAATATTGTTTGCCTGTTTGGTACTTTTGCTGACATATGTAAGTATACTTGGTTATGCTGTTCCGTCCATTTTCATATTAAAATAGCATCGATAAATCTAGAATGGGGCCCTTGGATCGCTTGCTGACACATTAAATTCATGGGCTGAACATAACAAAACTATTCCCAACATTTTTAAACCATCGAAAGGCGGTTTCCTTGGCTATGGTTGTAATGGTTTTGCGTACAGAGGTTCGATTCAATTTATTGAAAAAATGAAAGATTGATTGCATTTATATTTAAAAAAAATTAGGTTTTCTATTGAATTCAACTACAAAAATGGAGGTTGCAATGAAATTTACACCGCTAAATCGTAAAGGTGATGCCGATTCAGAATACGAAATGTACAAATATTTGAATGCGGTTCAAAATCCAAGTGTAGAGTTGTATGGAATACCAAATGTTTATTATTATGATACGTGGCAAGATTACAAGTTGATGGCAATTACTTTACTCGAATCAAACTTTCTGGAAAAAACCAATGCGACAAATGAAGTCGATCTTTTGATTATATTTCAGCAATTTGTAATTAGAACTATTGTATTCATTGGTGCATTCTACATAGATTTGATTGTATTCTTCAGGTGAGAACATCGAAATACATACATAGCCGTGGTGTATTTCATGAAGATACTAAGCTTGATAATTTGATGTTCCGTACACATCAGTGCTTCATCATTGGTGAATTTTTGCGGAATCTTTTTCTTTTCGACCAATTTTTAACCTCGCTAATATTTGTGAAGATAGATTTCGGTGAAGCTTCATATATGGCCAAAGCCAGTCCCGCGGTAAAAATGAAAGCGGCAAGAGAAGATTGGACCAAATTCCTCACTACAATGTTCTCTATGGTTTATTCTAAGCTTAATTGGCTTGGATTCTCCGCACAGGATAGAATACGACTTTCATCTGATTTGATCAATAGACTTTTAGAAGATGTCGTGAGTTTCAATTATTCACTATTATTCCACAATTTTTACGATTTTTTATTTGACATTTGACAGAAAAACGTTGAACAATTCAGTGGATTGAGAAGAGTTTTTATTGAATTTGCCAAACATGCATACGACGTAGATCCACAGAAGGGAAAATCAACGATTCCATTTTATGATCAAGTATATCGAATAATCGAAAAAGAAATGGCGAACTACGCACCAGCTTTATTTTCTTGGATATCGAATAACAAAGAAATAAGTTTAGCCAAACAGCAATTGAAGAAAGCAATTTCCATTTACAAAATAAAAGATCCGTTTGCAATAGTCAAAAAGTGAATCTTTGATAAAGCAGAATTATTGGCGCAACAGGCGATAGAACCAGCAAATTTGCAATGACTCTTTTCAAACCAAAAACAATAAATTTCGTTGCCCAAGAACCCATGTTTTTTTTTATCAAATCATGTCTAGAATTTTTTTGAAAGAAAAAACGAAATGACAAAGTCGGACATGTTTGAGTCTTGGTGATCTCTCCATCTTTCAATTAAAGTTTTTTTTTAAAGCGAATAAAGCCAGAATCAGCGATTTTGCAAAGAAGACTGTCTCAAACTAATAGTAAACCAAATAAAAATGACACAATGTTGCCGACATATTTTGGCAACGTCAAAGACAGCAACTGCCCAAATAAATGATTTAAGTTGATTTGATAGGATTTTTTCGAATACCACCAGGGCCAGTGTTGATACTGAAGAATTGGAATTGCTTAAGCAAATCAAAAAATAATGGAAAATCAAAAATTGAAAATCTCATATACAATATTGTTGTACAAAAGCACATCTCTCTTTCTCTTTATTTCTTGAGCATGATTCAATGTCATGCGCTTTGATTTATATTCGTTTTCAGAGTTCGTTTACATTTTATCGTTAAACTGTGCACTGTTGCTGATTGACTTTGAGTATATATATATGAGGTTCTTTCCAACCCGTTTACTCCATTTGCAAAATCCTTTCTCTTTAACGATGATGATTCAGTTTTTCCATGTCAATTTATATTTGTCTTGTTTACAAAAGATAAAATTTCACTGTGTGCTCGCTATCTGTTTTGCATACCATATCTACATTTGACTTGACCGACAACCACAAAGTGGCAAAAAATAGAGAAAGAAAATGATGGTGTGGGAATGAATTCAACCGACACTAAAGCATGGCGAACGTTCATTTTATTTTTATCACAATCGAAAGATCTTGGTTGGCTGGATGAAGTTTTTGTTTGGTGAATCAACACAAATTGAGAAACGAAACGAAACTAAACAAAGAACTTTAATCATCAGGAAATAGACATTTGCATTGTTGATTTATCGATAAATGGCCGATTCTTTTCATTTAATCGTCGTCGGGTGTTGTATGTTGCCGGCGCAATGTTTGAATAGCGATTCCCATTTTCCATATTTGTTTATAATTTAAACAACCAATGAAGTACGCCAGATGCAACGAATCACCCGCTTCGTACCTTTCTCATTTTGTAGTTTTTATGTTAAAACATTCACATGAAAGAAGAGAGAAGAAAAAAGAAATCGAAAAACAAATATAAAATACACATGCCAGAATAAATAAAGTGAAGCGCAGTGTGTGTATGTATAAACGAGAATACGGCAATAGCAACAGTAACGACAGATGGAGGGTAAGAGAGAGAGAACAAGTGCCAGAGCAAAAAACTAATTTGCGTTTTGTAAATATGAAATGGTTGATGTTATATCCACAATGCTCGCACAACTTTGATACTTTGATACAGCAAGCTCTGTATGATGTTATACAAACGTTGTCCAAGCTTGTCGCTGCTGTTGCAGTGCTTAAAAAATGTGTTTCATGCTCGTGCAACCGAACTGTGAGTGTGTTCTGGTTTTTCAAATGTTCCAATGCTTAAATTGTGATGCTTGCGCTCGCTATTGCATACGAAATGTTGTTTGCTTGAACAAACGACTTTTTCCGGAGTTAACAACCTCGTTGGTCGATAAGGTTTTCTTTCATCGTTCGTCGTTATTTGCTCGCTGTCAAATAGTGCACAAATACCATTTTAAATGGGTGCTGCAACACTCTTCTGCCAACATTTCACAAAACCCTATCATATCCATATATATAGATATTACTACAATCGAATTCCACAGGTTAATCAAGAAATAATTAGACAGGCGCTATAGTGAATCGGACGCTGTTATGTGTACTATGTCGAACATTTAAAATTATTATTGAACAGTTGCCAAATTCCACAAAATCCAGCACATTTTCATTAAATTAATGTTGGTTTTCATCGGTTTTAGACATTTTTTGATTTTAATGAGCAACTCTGAGAGATGTTTTCTTGACAGAATTACCAACCGAAAAACAAGGATTCATTTTTGGCTAGATATATGCTTCGTATATAAATAGGCAGCATAGAAATATCCGCATACGCACTGACGCTCTGTTGCTTTGTGATTTTTTTAGTTTTTCTCCGTTTCTCTCGGCTCTGGTTGCCGAATAAGTTATGGTAGTTTGTTAAACTGACATATTTATAATTGAATTCTTTGCAGAGTTGATTTTGTGCAATTATGAAGTATTGTTGTTATTTAATGAATTGTTTAGGTCTTATCGGCCTTTTCGAATGTCAAAACGTGAACGCTTGTATATGGAATGACAAGTTTTCGCAAATTATTCAAGTAAGAATTCATGTGGTGATAATTTCATCGCAACAAAGACCAATTCAATGTTTATCGGATGACTACTCAAATGTCCGCACATGAAAATATTCCCAGTACCAATTTTCTTAGCAATCGAATAAAAACATTGTTTTCCGAAATATCATTCCAAAAGAAAGGTTTCAAGCTGAAAAATCTAAAAAAAAACTAATTTCTCAAAACGGTTGCCACCATTAAATTTTTCGGGTCCGAATTATGTAAAATCAGTTGTCAAAATGGACCAACAAAGTAAAAACCTAGCACATTACAGTGCATTAGTAAGATATTAAAATATAGGTGGCCGCTTAAGTTCACACTTTTCCCAATTTTCACCAAATAAAAAAATGTTGGTTGTTGGAAAAAAGCCAACATGTGACATTTTCGGCGAAAAATGACCATGACTTTTTTCACGTGATCCTTAAAAAAATTTGTCTATGAAAAAAATAAAAAAACTAGGCGTTTGTTAGGGACCAAATATGTGATGATGGGGAAAAATCGATGAAAATCGAAGTTAATCGTCATTTTTCTCGAAAAAATGTATGACTGGCGTGGCTTTTTTCCAACAACCAACATTTTTTTATTTGGTGAAAATTGGGAAAAGTGTGAACTTAAGCGGCCACCTATATTTTAATATCTTACTAATGCACTGTAATGTGCTAGGTTTTTACTTTGTTGGTCCATTTTGACAACTGATTTTACATAATTCGGACCCGAAAAATTTAATGGTGGCAACCGTTTTGAGAAATTAGTTTTTTTTTTAGATTTTTCAGCTTGAAACCTTTCTTTTGGAATGATATTTCGGAAAACAATGTTTTTATTCGATTGCTAAGAAAATTGGTACTGGGGGGTTTTTGGCACGAGAAAACCGAATCTGACATTTATTTTACGTTAAAATCAGGTCTCAACACACTTAGCGTTAGAATTTCGTCATAAATTACTAAAAAGATTATTGATATAAGTTTATATTTTAATAATTATTAACGTTTCACTTTATTACGATATCATACAGGTATATAAAATTCTTTATCCCTCCCTTCTTTATCCTCGTCAAAAACAAACAAAACTGAAAAAATAGGTTCTAACGCTATTAAAACGTGTCAAACCACAAGAAAGACAAATATCAATGGGTTGTTTTTATGATATGCCAGATGTTCGTTTTATTAAATTTAGTATTGATTAGAAATTCAGACTAAAAGTTAAAATGTTCATAATCAAATTTATTTTGTTTGGATTAATTGCCAAATCGATTTGTGAAGATCAAGCGAACATCGATTTTGTAAATAGATTTAAAGCACGATATAATGATTTATCAAAAAATTGTTTAGACTCAAATGATCTTGTAAGACCAGCATACGAATGTTCTGGAATTTTATTACGTGGCGTTAAAAGTGAAAAAAATAAAGATAATTATGCTTGGGGCAGAAGAAACTCGAGTATTCCAACTAAAGCATTTTCGATATCACTTTTACGGGTAGAAAATCCATTTTCCTCTATATGCTGTGGCTATGTGTCGGGTTTCATTCTTTATCCCCATTTAAGAACTCCGCCTGCATCTCCGGAAAATAGACTAAAAGTGTATTGTGCTTTTCCATTGGATGGTCATACAAATAGTCGCGGGGGACGTCACGGCGGTCTTGCATGTGGACAATCAGACAATGAAAAGTCTGGAACAAGCAAGCCCTGTCACTTGCAAGGGATAAACTCCATAGAAAAATGGATATCGCATTTTGAAAAAGTTTTACACGACCGAGAAGATGATTTTGCTATAAGGAGCAATCAATGTGGATTTGATATGACAGACAAGAGCGCGGCTAAAAATTTTGAGATGGTTCTTGCATGTAATGCGTATTACCAGAAAAATTGCAATTTAAATGTCAATTTTAACGGATACAAAGGGAACGAATTACGCATTGATCCATGGAGTGAAAATTGTGCAGAAATACCAATTGAAGCATTCTTCTATTTGATTGATTCAACGGGCGCAGATCTGAAAGCTAAAACGTATCGAGATCAATTTATTGAATGTGGTGGACGTAAAGTACCTATCGTTGGCATTGGATTACCTACTTCTGAACGAAATATAACTATTGAAATTTTGAAAGAATAATAAAAATAATTTTAATGCAGAAATATAGGTTTCACAGCACTCGTATTACATTACTCTTTGTTAAAACGTGAATGTTTGTATTAAAATTAACTTTTCCTTACATACTGACGTATATATTCATGTCTTTGTATTTAATGTGTTATACGCCATACGCTGTGTAACTGTATGCAGATATTTCCATGCTACCTTTTTATATGCAACGCATAAATCTAGGCAAAGATGAATCCCTAGGGGGCAGACACGTGGAATAGGATTAGACTTTTAGAGTAAAGATTCGAGAAATTTCAATGATATAGCAACGTATGTGAATGGATTCGCGTGGAATAGCAAAACAGTGCATGGAATAGCAAAAATTGTTTCACTTCAAATCCATTTGACATTTCTTTTGACGTTTATTGATGGATTATTGGAATAGTTTGGAATAGCAGAATTAACATTTTTGACGGAAACAGTGCATGGAATAGGAAAAATAGTTTCGATTCCACATTTGTGTTTTTGGATTAGTGGAATAGCTGGATTAGTAATTTATATAGTGGATTCGGAATTTATTCTTGGTGTCTCCCCCCTAGATGAATCCTTGCCGAAAAGTATTACAACACATTTCGTGTAAAGAATTTTTC